TCATCAGAGTAGAAGAAAAGCTCAATGCACCAAAATATTGAGATAGCCTTAATGAAAACCCAGTCCAGAGCATTCAGAACCTCAGACTGGGCAGAAGGTTCACCTTCCAACAGGACAATGGACCTAAGCACACAGCAAGAGTGGCTTATAGACAACTCTGTGAATGTCCTTGAGTGGCCGAGACAGAGCCTGAGCTTGAACCCAATCAAATATTTCTGGAGAAACCTGAAACTGTGCGTCTGCCCCCATCCAACCTGACAGAGCTTGAAAGGTGAAGAGGTGGGGTGAAGAATAGCAGATAATTGCCAAATGCTAATGAGCAAAGCTTGTCGCATCAAACAAAAAAGACTTGAGACTGTTAAGGTGCTTCAGCTAAATATTTGAATGAATTGAAATGAATACTTATGCAATGTACTTATTTCAGTTTTTTTATTTGTAATTAATTTATGAAGTTGTGACAATTCTGTTTTTGCTTTGTCAATATGGTGTAAGGAGTGTAGATTGATGTGGGGAAAAAAGTACATTTAAGTAGTTAAAAAATGTAATTTAATATAATTACAAGTACTTAATTTTTGGAATCTGATTATGTAATCCAGATTATGTAATCTTCTGTCGCGGGGCTCTGTATATATATATATATATATATATATATATATATAGTTATGTGATTTCTATATTGCAACCTCTCAGGTCTGGACTTACCAAGTTTCTTGAGGTCTGTCTCTACAGCCATGATCTTCCCTCCATAATTCTCCATACCCTCTGTTACATTATCCATTCTTTGGACCACTGTGGGCACACATTGTAAAAGCCAGTCAGACTTTGTCTGCACTATGGACTACATACCATAAATCCTTAAGTACTTCTAATTTTAGAAAGTCATTAGGCTGCTTGAGACGTATTTCTGAGACAGCATTCCTTCAAAATGCTGACCGTTTTGCCCTGTGTGGACATGATTTAACAATTTTTCACTTGTCCATTGCACATGCATAAAAATACAACATGCATTCCAAACACAGTCACGCAGGAAATGCATGACACTTCATTTCCTCAGGAATTTGGAATGGATCTTCAGGAGACGCTATCAGAGCATCTCCTTTCTGGTGATTCCCAGCAGGCACCACTATAGCCATTCAAAGACAGATTTTGGTCTCATCCCTGATTTGTACAATAATGAAACCTTAGTTTAAGATGCCTAAGGGCTGAAATGTTAATATAACCTGCCATAACCATGACCTGACCATTTATGTTCTTATACAATGTTGTATGACATTAAACTTAATTCTAGGAGTATGTGTTCATGTGCAACACTAGAGGGCGCTTTCACTATGCATTCTGCATGATTCTTTTGGTAAGTAGTGTATGATTAAAATACCAACTGTCACATTTGTCTTTTTCTTTGGAACAGTCAGAAGGTGATCTTACAGGCTATCCTGACAAAGGCCCGGAACAGTTTCAAATCCCCCCTCTTGTTCCCAGAGTTTTCCCCATTGAATATCTCACTGGCGGTCAAACATGAATGAAAAAATAAAAGTCATCATCTTCGCTCTCTCACGGTTTTTTAACTCATGTTTCATTCAGACATGCAGCACTCGGCTATCGCTGCCAGCAAACTCAAACACATCAAAGATCTTGGGTGTTAGCATTCCTGACTGCGCTTGTGTAACCAAACACAAAACAAATATATGCTGTAGGGGAAAAACAAAACACGGAGGTCCATTTCAAAGGCTTGTTGGTCATTTTCACACTGGGAGTCTGTCAGTGGGAGGTCAACACTGCCAGTCTCCTGCCCTCCCTCTCTCTCTCCCACTCTCCTTTCTTTCTTATTTTCCTGTATCAGCCGTGTTGTTTTTGAATGGAGTTTAGTGGGATGGTTCTCTTAGCTGACAGAATGAGTGACTCAATCTAAATATGCACTACTGAGACACTCACTGGACTAAATCTGAACGTACAATTACAAATTCTTGTCTATATGACGTTGTTGAGAAGTGATACAGAATAAAGTAACCAGATACTTTCTGGCACTGCCAACAAAGGAAACATGACATGTTTTCAGAATGCCACAAAGTCCCTGTCAATCAACCTGTGGGTTTTGGGACAGCAAATTGCCGCTAAGGCATAAAATCTCCTCTGGAGCAGGTTTGTAGTGAAACTTGCTGCTTTACATGGTCTTCTCATCTGGTTGGCATTAGGGCTTTAGAGAACCAGAGGAGACATATGGACTCAATGGAGACGTGATCTGGACAATCAGATCACATTCATTTAAATGTAAATAAGCAAGGACACATTTTCAAGTACAGATTTGGGGTGCTTTGTAGAAGTTCATTTGTCTCTCTTCTATCTATCTATCCATCTATTTATCTATCTATCTATCTATCTATCTATCGATCTGATTTGTGTTAGTGCTTTGTTGTATAATATAATACTGTTATCCCTTCAAAATATTTAATTGCAAACCCATTAGCACTGCTTGCTGCAGAAATGTTAGCTATATCACATAAATGAATAAAGTTGTTTAAAAACGTAACTACATTCGAAAGCTAAAAAATAACTCTAATTTACCGTGTCCTTCTGGAAGACAACAGCATGCATTATCTTATCCTGGTTTTTGGCACCAGACAAAATAAACTGCGATGCTCTGTTTCACAGCGCTCATGGCTTTCCCAGCTAATACAGAAAACAGATTTCACTGTGATAGTCCGGCTGACAATATTTGGAAAACTAACTTGTTTCTACGGTGCAATATGGTTGCCTTATGTCAGGACAAATAATAAAGTGAGCCAAAGTTCAAAACTGAACAGCAGAAATTATGGGGAATGTTCATTTGTGGCACATTCTTGATACGTTTTAGCTGGATAAGATATAAACCCAGTGAACCTAGATTTTCCAGGTTTCTGTTCTAAACGACAGACAGCAGGAATGGTCTGTGCCGTACTTTTGTAGATTTGCAGTCTTCATTGTGAAAGTATAGCGGGCTGAAACTGCAAACATGTAGAATTATGCACATCACTGCAAAAGATAAATGGGTGTGTCAATGTCAGGAGGACTTCTTACCTTTGTATCCAAGCACAGCCACAGCTATGGTGAGCAGTGCACAAAGTACATACAGAAGAGCAATCGCCACCCTCAGGGCCCAGTCATTTTTACATTTAGTGCATTCACTTCCTTCCTGGATACCTGCAACAGAAAAAAAAACATTGCATCAAAATATTAAAATGTTTTTATGCATAATGTAAATACATATTCCTCAATCTTAATTAACAACTCAAGTGCTGACAGGAAAGACCAGGAAAGAAAGATGGCGCCGACGCTGATGGCTGCCTCCGTGGCGTGCTCTGCAGTTGTTTTTATGTTTTTGTTAGTTTGTCCTGTCTTTAGTTATATCCCTGCAATCAGTTTCACCAGAGACGAATTGCTGGACTGTACATACAAAACGGTCTATTGTAATATACCTGCACATACAATTGTCAATTTATATATTTTTATTCCTTATTTACTTGTTCTATTTTTAATTTTTTATTTTTTTTTATTATCTGTGTTTGTTGTTCTGTCACTGTCATTCTGTTACACTGTGGAAGCTTCTGTCACGAAAACAAATTCCTCTTATGTGAAAACATACCTGGCAATAAAGCTCATTCTGATTCTGAAAGTGGCTTTGGTTGCTTTAACAAATTAGAAGCCAGCATTTACTTAACCTAATGTTGTTCTAAACCTATATGACTTTCTTCTGTGGGACAGAAAAGATGTTTTGACAAATGTATATATATATGAACTATCCTTTTAACTTTTTTTGCTTTAGCATATTTATTTTAAATTATCTTTCTATATATCATTATGCTTTCCATGCTGATAATGACGTATGCTTTGAATGAATTCTCTAAACTAAATTCTCGCATGAACTAACATAAAACATCTGAAACACTGGGACATTCTTTTAAGACAAAACCGAATTCTAAGGAACAAACAACTATTTCAGAGATTTCACGCAAAGCAGCTTTAGAGATCACAGTGTTTCACCACATGATGGTGGAATAAATATAAGCGAATAAATGCCCCTCTGTTTGTTTTCATGAGCCAAGCTGAAACTACACCATCAGGGCTTACTGTGGCGAGAGACTATGTGTCATGCTTGTCTTGAATGAGAATGAGTGATTTGTGTCAGTCTGGTTCAGATTACCATTGAGCAAATTGTTTTTCCCCTTGATCTAGAGGGAATAAATGGTCAACCATAAATAGTGTCACACTAGGACAAACAGCAAGTTTGAACGGTACATAACAGACTGTGATGTCAAATTCGCCACATGCTGCATGTTTTTGCTGCAGCTAAGAGTAAAGTGGAGTGGACCCCTGTTGTGTTTAGATTGAGGCTTAGCAAATAAACATGTTCACTATCTCCAGAAAAACTCCAGACATTCCACAACGAGCCTCACATCCTTGTTTGACTCATCAGCATATGGTCGGAGTGGCAGCCATGGCATCCAGGTCAGGCTAAAATGCCCCATGAGAGAGCTGGGGGGTGGGCAGGTCGCTGGGGAGCTTGTCCTTAGACTTAAACATCTGTGTAAACATCAAAAAAGGGCCCTCCGAGCTATGGCCCCAGATGTAGGGGGGTTTGTACTGAGGGTTTGGAGAGGTGGTCTGTGTGGGGGAGATCAGGAGAGGCCTCAGCCCCCACCACCCCACCCTCACTCAACTATAACCAAACCGCACCATGTAAACAAGCAACATCACCACCACCTCTGGCTATGGGTCACTGGGGTGTGAAGCGGAGAGAGAGGAGAGGAAAGAAAACAATAAATGTATCACTTCTACATTGCTGTAGAGTGTTTATTGCTGTGTTTCTTTCACCTAATGAAAACTATTAACTAGAGATGGACAAACTGCTCCTGACTTACAACACTGAAGCTATATTAACCACACAGATTTCTCTTCCTATAGCCTTTCACACATGCTTTGAAATTTCACTGAAGAAATACAGATGTGCTCTTTCAGATAGCTGGAATTCCAAGACGGGATGCTTAAATTTGTGCTCTGAAGCAACAGATAGGGAATCACGCAATGCTTTCTACTTATTAACTAGGGTTGGGAACAAGAAACAGTTTTTATTCCGTTTTCTTTCTTTTTTTTTATATATATATTTCAAAACTGAATGTCATTTGTTTCCGTTAATGGTTCCTGCATATGTTCCCACTTGACTGATGGAGTTACCTGTAGTAGTTAATCAGTGGTACAGTAACACCATTATTACATCTAATGATCTTCAGAATGATCAACAGAATACAGCACAACCGATGTAGTTCCACTGCCAAACAAATGACTCAAATAAACTGGTTCTTTTAAGTGAATCAAAAGCATATAGCGCAACCAGTGTCATTGTATTATGTGCAAATTACTCTAATGAATCGGTTCTTTTAAGTGAATCAAAAGCAAACAGTGCAAACCAGTATAGTCCCATTCTAAAAAAAATGACTCAAATGAACTGGTTCTTTTAAGTGAATCAAAAGTATATAGCGCAACTGGTGTCATTTCATTCCATACAAATGGCAAATGAATCAGTTCTTTTAAGTGAATCGAAAGGATACAATGCAACCGATGTAGTTCCACTCCCAAACAAATGACTCAGATGAACTGGTTCTTTTTAGTGAATTAAGTGTACAGTGCAACCGGTGTCACTGTATCCCGTGCAAATTACTCTAATGAACTGTTGCTTTTAAGGGAATCAAAACCGTACTGCACAATCAGTGTAACCCCATTCCTGAATAAATAACTAATAAATCGGTTCTTTTAAGTGAATCAAAAGCAAACAGCGCAACCGATGTAGTTCCATTCCCAAACAAATGACTCAAATATACTGGCTCTTTTAAGTGAATCAAAACCGTAAAGCGTGCAGTCTGATTCTGAAGTAACTAAAAAGTCTGTGTAAACTGTTCATGTTTTGTATTTACATGAGCAATATCACTCGAGTACACCGGCTAGAACAAGCGGAGTGATACAAAATTGTGAAAGGGCGTTCCTGTAGCGATACCAGTACAATATCTCACGGTTCTCAACCAATCAGATTTGAGAACCAGAACGAACTGTTGTATAATATTGAAATTAAATCATCATATGGCAATGGAATTGCATTCCGAAAGTACAAAAACAACTGTTAATGGAACCTAATAGGAACTAGAATGCTTCCTTTGAGGAATTTGAATCAAAACCTAACTTGTTCATTTCTTCAAGATTCAATGTTTTCTTGTTCAAACACCCTACACTTGCCAATAGATTAATGCAGTCTATATGGACCGTACATGACAACATTATCTATAAACATTCTGACACACATCCAAACACCCACGCACTTAATGTTTGTAACTCAAACACACACAGAGAAAAACCTAAAGGGAAAAGCAAACTGAGGCTCTGGAATGGATGACCATACCTTGCCCTTTACTACAGGGCTTTAGGGAGAGTCTGGAAAATGGCTAGAGTGTAATTTTCAACAGGCCAGCAGTGACTGGCTCTGGTCCAGGAAATTCCCAATAAGAAAATAACTAGTCAAACAGTCTAAATGAATTTACAGTAACACACAACAGCGGCAGCCCATACCTAAAGTTTGTTAACGTACATTGGATGATTGTTGTTCTAGTCAACACTTTACAGTATGCATGCTACAGATCTCATGATGGATCATATTAAAAGTTGGAGGAGGACAGAATAGAGAAGTGCTGCTTTAACACTGTGTGAGATGAGGTTGTTAAGCTGTGGCAAGAGATTGAGAGAGGGAAACGCTGAGGCCCGCATCCATGCCTGTGCAACAGCTGTGTTTCATTTGGACTCAGGAAGTCGCTCAAAGAAAATTCCTGTACTTCTCTTTTTCCTCTGTACCTGCTATAAGACCCACTCACACTTGCCCAATGCAACACAACACTTGTGATGGAAATTTCCATGGCAACAAAAAGACACTTTTCCACACTACACACAGAAAGCGGTCCATGTTTGAGTTGACTTTTGGTTTGGTATACATATATACGGGTGATTCTTCAATATGCTCTTTTGCAAAAACTATTATCCTAGTTTTACGGTAAATTAGCTTTCAGATTTCCTATGGTCTCTTTAATGACATTTTCCTCATTTTTTTAGGAGTACTGAATTGCTAAATATGCCATAATTTAACTATTTTGGACCACTACCCAGACTTGTCCTTCAAAAAACACATTTGAAAAATCATAAAAGATCTTCCAAGGAAGTCTAATTTGGTCTCATAGAGGCCTCAAGCAGCCATTACAAATTTGTTTGCACATTGGTGACTGATTCATAATTATGTTTAATTAAGCCCTCCATAATGTTCAAACGTGTAAGCTAAAGTTCAAAAGCTATGAAGAGTTACTGATAAATTAAGCAAATCTGAGCAGTGAACCCTTCTGGGTCCAATCTGAGCTCAGGCATTTGAGGAAAAACAATTCTTTTGCCATTTGATAATAATTACAGCCTTATCTGCATGATCTGAATGCAACGAATGTGCAAAAGCTGTCATAATAAAGTACTTCTTTTCATAATTTCATTTAAGCATTACCTCAACTGATTTCATGTTGACCATTGTTTCGTGACTATACAAATTTGGAAGATACAAAATGATTAAACATGACAGATTGGCAGCCCTGAAAGCAAACGGTTTAACAAACATGATCAACTAGTAACAACAGACCCAGTCAGTCTTTTACGATGAAGAGCAAACAAAATCTTGCAGTATGTCATTCAGGTTTATTTCAACATAAGAAAACAATGAGTTTTGTCATGTTAAAAATATTCTGGATATCTATCTCTATGTGACCATTGCCAACATCTGGAATCAACACTCACAGTAAGACTCAAATAAAATGCTATTTGCATGCAATTCCTTTCAGTTGTGTAGCATCAGAAATAGTAAACTTTGTGAATCTGGTGCACATCTCTGGATCCAATCATCATGCCCCCATCGTCCCTCATTAAAAGCCCCCTCTCTGGAATGTTAACAAGCGCTCTAAAAAAGGGATATAACTACAGAGACAAATTACTACACCATTATGTTTGTAAACCTCTGAACTGTACTGCTCCACACCACTAGCATGCAACAGTAACATTTTTTCCCATTTTGACAGCAAACAGGTTTATAACACTTTAAATAGGCACAAGCATCTGGAGCTTATTACACA